TTTCCAAATGATTACGCTACTGTAATTTTGACACAATAGATTTGTGTAAAACTGATTACGGAGGGGGGGGGGGGGGGTAAAAATTGTCCAAAAAGTGATTACGTAATAATATGTGAACGATCCCTATTCCTCTGTAACAAACTACCTGTAGAAATGGTTAGCAACCATTCACGATCAACGACCATGGCCCTTTTTAGGATAAACTTTGGGCATTACTTTCAAAGTTTAAATTCTAATTTAGGTACAGAAAATAGTCTGTATTTCTTTAAGGGAGGGGGGGGGGGCCAATGGGTATTTTTTGTGAAACTTCATTTCGATATAGCAGTTGACCAACAAACTAGGACCAGTGACCGAACTTTTGAGGGGGTTCTGGACCCCAACTGCCAAACGGTGCGCGCAGGGCAGCCACGCCCATATTTGGTCCAAATTTGTCCCAATTTAGCCAAATACCCTGAACATGCCCAAGGTTTATGGTGCTCTACTTGTAGCTAGTGGTCTCCTGAACTTGTATATGAAATTTCATCAAGATTGGACAAAAAATGACTGAGTTATGAGCCAAAAACCATATGCCCATATTTTCTCACAAAAATTCAGAATTTGGCCGCCAAATTTTTTTGGAGGCCTAAATCAAAAATCCGTTCTCAAACTAAGGTCGAAATGCGATTTCGAGTCGATTCCGAAAATTTCATGCAAAAATTTTGAAAACTGATTGAGTTGTTACAATTTTAATGAGATCAATTCCGCGAATATCGCGAACCAAGATATGGGCAATTTAGTCCATTTTTTGTGGTTTTTTCGCCTTCGTATCCACATTTAAACATATATAAAGCTATAACTTACAGAGAATATTATGTAGTTTAGGCTTACCTTTCATAAAAAGTAAGTCTCATTCAAAAATATTGATATTTGACCAATTTATGGGACAAAATCTACCAAATTTGGTGCGTATGCCCAAATATGGACATATGGTTTTTGGCTCATAACTCAGTCATTTTTTGTCCAATCTTGATGAAATTTCATCCACGAGTTCAGGAGACCATAGTACTCAATAGTTATCTACTAAATACTAATCACTCCTAAACTGAGCATTTTTGAGTATATGATGTGCATGAGTCGGCAATTGTGAACAATTTGCTGTTAGCAACAGACCAAAATTTGAAAATTGTCCTTTCGTAAGACGCAAATGTGCTGTGGTCCTGGCCCATTTAGAGAGATGCATGATTGAGTAGATCATTCTCCGACTTTATAGGTGTTTCTTGACAACTAGTAAGTCATCTTGCGACAAATTCTATGTTTTTTATGAGTCTTTGAGACCTTCCTAGTTACCATTATAATAACCCATTTGTGAGTATTTTCATCGTTTTCTCGGCAAAAATCGGTTTTTCAACCACATTTCCGAAAATGAACATTTTAAGGTATATGTTGCTTCATAAGAACTTGTATATACATGTGGCTATTAGGTACATTTTGGTGTATCGGAATAGTCTATATAACCTTCGTAGGCGGAAAACACCAAAAATCACGGAAATTATGAACTGCGTCAAGCCAAAAACCGTTTTTCGGCCAAATTTCCGAAAACAAGCATTTAAAGGTATATGTCGCTTCAAAAGTTGTATATAAATATGGATATTACTTATTAGGCACATTTTAGTGTATCGGAACAGTCTCTAAGACCATCCTGGGCCGAAGTACAAAAATTCGAGCGACTGCGAAACTCTAGAAAAGGGTGTGGCCCAAAACACTCTTATTGCATTTAGTACAAAATGAAATTAAAGTTAAATGTTTTAAGCATCATCTAGAGAGGTGATAACCGTCGAAAAATCGCTTTTAACCAGAAAAGCTAGCGAGTTCCCTTTTGTCTCGGACTATTTCCATGTATTTTGAAATTGTTTGTCCATTTTTTGTCCATATTTGTCCAGTTTTCTGTTTTGTCACCCTATTTTTGTTCACCTTGAAAATATAGGGTACTACATGGACAAAAATGGACAAAAAACATGATCCCCTATATAATCATATGCAACCCAAACAGAACCGGTAGTACGTGTCCTGTCCGGTAGTACGTGTCCTGTCCGGTAGTACGTGTCCTGTCCGGTAGTTCGTGTCCTGTCCGGTAGTACGTCTCCTGTCCGGTAGTACGTCTCCTGTCCGGTAGTACGTGTCCTGTCCGGTAGTACGTGTCGAGTGCGACTCTAAGACTCTTCTCAGACTCCGAAATTAGGTTTTTCGGACAATAGTTTATGACGGATCCTACCATAAGATTTTCATGAAACTTTCCATAAACTTTCCGGACGAGAGTCGCTGTCGGACAAGAGTCGTGTTACCATACGTGTCCTGTTCGGGGAAAATGAATAAAGGAGGGAATAAACAAAGGACTACCACGTAAAGACTACAAACTTTGCGTTACACTCACACAAGCAACGTCAACTGCTCAGCTAAATCATAATAAGGGCACATCCTTCGATTGGTATTTTTATTGGTTCATCAGTTTCTTGGAAACTGCGTTCACAGATACTGTAGCATACTGAGGGAAGATATGGTCGCCTGCATTTGAGGAAGGGACAGGTCTTTCGCCTGGGAGGAGGCAATTCACTTTCATGGGCACCGATAATATTACTGTTATCTCGGGGTGCCGGGGCGGGTAATCACTGCATTAACTCGTGGCTTGCGGCAATTGCAAAAGAGGGATGACTCTTTTCAGAGACAACTTTATGCCGAATCCAAATAAGATAAAAATGGGCTGGAAATATAGAACGATATAAATAAATTGTCCAATCTAGAGGTTCTGTTGATAAACGACAAGTTTAGCAGTAATTAATATGATACTTTCCATTAATAAGATGACTCTAACGATCGTGGTGGCCCGCTTACCCATACTGAATGATCGTCTGAATGAACTAATTTGATCCACGATATCACAACAACTTGACCAGAAGATACTTGACCAGAAGATACTCAGGCACTTAAAAACAACTGCAGATAAAGATGTAACGTCTAATAATACACGGACACGCACTACTGTAGTTCTACGACTACGACTACTCAGTGCCACTCTGTTTTTATATTATATATAAATGCAAATGTTTAATGCGGTACCCGCGTGGTATATTATTTAGCTCATATCCCCATATAGACACCATTGCGAACCACATGTACCACAAAATTACTCCGAAATTAAAATTACCAGGTACGACTTATTTCCTGCATTAATTTTCACCGCGGGAATTACAGATTGGTGTTCCGGTTGAGGAGGCCTGTTATCTGGATGTATAGGGGGAGTGTCTTATCAATGCACACGGTTAAAAGTAAAATAACATTAATATTCGGAACTACTGGGCGGGTAGCACGGCTCAAAGGGACAGCGCCGAGTCTCACGTTTTCAAATAACACGTGGTCTGTTGCCTTGTGGTCACGTGGTATGTTGCCTTGTGGTCACTGCTGGGGACCACGTGATATGGCAGTTTGTTTGATGTGTACCTGGTTCACCAATTTCTTCACTTCCTTCCAGACGTGCCCCCTCCGCGGACTAGACCAAGTTGAGATATTATCTAGTGGACTGGAAGGTAACTAGACCAATTCGAGATACTGCTGACTAAGCTGAAAGCTGAATAGACCAATTCAGGATGTTATCAACTACTGAGATTTTGGCTAGTTAGACCAATCGAAAACTGTATTCCTTGAGAGTTTACTAGAGCAATGAAATGATATGATCACAATTCTAGGTTGTTATCTAGCTATGCCAGATCGGGAAATCATCTACTTTAGCTAGCTAGACTAATTTGAGATGTTATTTACTCGGCTATAATAGCTAACTAGAACAATTTCAAGCGTTAAATATAGGTATTATTCAATTTAATGACGATCAGTTCGAAAAAATAAACCCAAGCTTACGATTAAGCTGATATCGAAAAATCACGCTGACTTTTCGGGCGAGTCATGCACAAAAACGCTCTAAACGTTCAAATACCAACGCAATTTTAGATATTTAGGCTGGATCATATTTAGGGTGCAGGTGAAATTCCGAAACAGTCTGACGGTAACTGATATTTGTTTGTTGCTATAGCATTGGCATAAGGTTCGAAACTAGATCATATGCTATCTGTGACTAGACACTTGATTTCATCTCTAAGACGTTTAAAGATATACGCATATCCAGCAACCCTAAACATCATTGTCTAAGGGGGTAAGTTGTAAGTTAATTTTCTATTTAAAAGATCGCCATATCTTAATCTACCACCAAATAAAATAATTAATGTGTCGGTAAGAAGGAAAGGAAAAGGAAAAGAACAAAACATGAAAGCCGTCCGACTACCCCTGCACTGATCTGGGGCGAATGATATCGGCAAAGAATATCCAAGCCTCGACCCCATTAGCCGTGTCCGTGACAAGACACACACAATTCCACAAAACAAGGGTCTGTTCGACAAACTAAAACTTGACAACCAAGGACAGTGCACACAACAACAACCCACTAATTACAATTAACCGAGTAATGAACATTTGGAGGTAGCATACAAAACAACTGGTGCACACATCTCGAACCGATCTAGCCGAATAACACATATTACTAGTGACACATGTCCTTTTATAACTGTATCGCATCTGATCTCAGCAACGCGGACGACGACAAACACAAAGTTCATCTGTACAAGGAAGACCTATAAAACCATGTCATTACCCGATCAATCCTATAAATAACATTTAAGCTTACAACCCCATTTAAGTAATATATAGTTTGGATAAAGGTGCATCCTGGAACGATACAGCTCCCGTAGACAGCACAACAGGTATATCTACCCCCTGTGACAAGCCCCACCACCTCTCTCGGACGGACAAACCGGGTGCCTTTCGTCCGATTTTCTAGAGAAGATCATTCTTCGTTTAGCCAGCCCCGTGCTAACCTCCCATTTGTAGCCACCAGACATGTATAGATTTTATTCATATTCACAAAACGTTACCCCGGATTTTGAAGGGGGGAGAGTTGGTGGTGAGTTAAATCTTACCTGGGAAGAAGGGGGCGAGAGTGGATTTGGGGATTTTTCTAGGTAATAGGATCATGCCAGCTTCCCCGTGCATCATCAGACTGTATCGTCACCCCAACTACCATCCTAGCGGAGCAATAAATATATATATTACATTTTTATTGAAATTAAATTACATTCCGACCGCGAAGGATAGCTGAGGGTCCTGTCTGTAGAAGTTAGCATGTAGTGTGGTAGAGTTGTAAGTTAGAGGAAAAATCAGGCGCAAAATGAAAATAGCAATGAAAGTGTAAAGTTTAACTTTGAATGTTCAAAATTGGTATGATATATAGCAATATAGTGAGATAATCAGACAAAAGTATCCCAGGTAAAACCGATTCCTGTCGGTTAGATGAAAGGACGGACGAAAGACAGCCCATGAAAAGTAGACGCCAATTATTGTTCCCCTCCGTGTCAAGATAGGCACAACAAAAACCCAACGTGAAATTAATATTGAGGTCTTTAACCGCTCAATTTCACCGTATATATGCGACTTTTCAGTGAAAATATTTTGCAGCTCCATCTCCTGGAGTAATCAAATCGTTCTAAATAAAGAGTCTCTTGAAAAAGTAGGGTTGTGGGGTTTTGATGGTAAAAAAGATTTTATCAGGTACGTTATAATATAATATTATTATGTCATGCCTCGACTGGTGTTTTTAATTTAAAATAAATAAAATCTCAGAATTTAAGCACCTTTCTTTTTTAAACAAACTTGGCTTTTCCACTAATAGGATCAAATTCAATACTTCCGGTTGAACATTCAAAACTTAATTTCTCCATCAAATAATCTCTACATATTATAATATTTAATACTGGGTTAATCGAGATAAAGTTTAGTACCTTTGGGTGTAATATCATTATTACTGATACAAAAATGACAAATATTACTTCACCGTGAATTAGTAAATAACACAACATCTACATAACTCTGGTAAGCGGTACAGACCCCACTGTCGCTCAAAAACCAATTATTTTTAAGTAGGCCCTAAACCCCAAAAACCGCGGCATTTTCTGAAGATAAAGTTGGATTATTTAGGAGTGTTAACCATGGTGGTATCTCAACAATTCATTGTCCAATAACCATATTTTTCAAATAAAAACATATTTTGACAGACACCAGAATGTTACAAATTATCCCAGCTTTCTGTAGAATGAGACCCATGGTAGACTTATCTTCGCGAAAACAAATAATTATCCGATAACCATTTTATTATCAGTTCCACTGAACAAACACAGGTTTTAACTGAGACTCCTGACCTGCTCATGCCCACTGTAGCCGCTCATATTGATAATTATATTTCATATTTTCATGTTTAATGAGAAGGAGAGCTTCAGTAGAGCGCAATTACCCTGTCTGTAACATGTGGGACAGTGCCCTAAATCACATTTTGCAGGAGACCTCAGTTGTCATGAACCAATTTAGGTTTAGTACGACATGTCTTAAATATGGGAGGTTTGTGGAGATTGGAGGGTTTGGAGAGTTCCGCGTTTTATGGTTTTATGGTTCCTAACTTCCTGTCCACCTAAGAATGATTGCAATGTCACCCCAACAAGATCCCAAGTATCATGGACTGTTACAACCCCAGAAACACCACTCACTGGTTGTAACGGAGCCCGTATCCCTATAAGGATAAAACCCTATCTCTGCAGAGCAGCAGCCGACATGATCCCAAACATATTGTGTCATATCTACACGTATAGAATTAAGTAAGAGTCCGTACAAGCTATATCTGCAGAGGGAAGTGTGCAGGAATGTGCAGGAAGTGTGCAGGATATATGCAAAATGCAGCAATGTTGCAACATTTGCAGGATTGTGAACTAGAAGTCCCGGATGAGAGGGCACCTCAGCGAGTCACGTTGCAGGGCTGTCTCAAAGTACAAACTACCGAGGTGATCATACTATCGTGGTGATATCTTGGAAATGTGTTGTTGATGAGTTCATACGATGATATTAGTCCTGGTTGTTTGAGCGGTTCTGCTGGTTGCCTTGGTAGGTAGTCTGATTAGAGTTGTAAACCTGGAAATATTGTTGCGGTGGTCAGCTTCATATGATTAAAAACTGTCTGGGTGAAAACGTTCTGGAAAGTATGGAACGAGAACTATGTGCGTCTACCCTGATGAAAAATGAAACCATTCAAGATATTTGCTTACTTAATACTTATTGTAGTCTATTACTTAATACATATATTCAATTTTAGGGACCCTAGGACCTATGCCAAGGGCAGGCGGCGAGTTTGAATTTAGAAGGGGCGTACAGTCAGGGAGACATAGAACCCATTATCACGTGGACATATGGTGGATGTTGTGAAATGTTTCTCTTGGCTGGTGCATTTACTCTGTGTCTGAGTTTGAAGGGAGCATGTCACGAGCAGGACAAGTCTCTTACAATCCTATGGCGATGGTGATAACTTGATTTGAAGGTTTTACGTGAAAAGCGCTGCTCCAGAATGGCTACGGGAAGCCATCAAAGCACATAATATTATAAAAGTGGCCCAATCTGTAATAGACTTTACTAACAGAAATTTGTTTTTGTAATCAACAAAGCAGGTCGTGTTCTCTAAAGGGATTTTGTTTAACTGGTCTCAGTTACCTGTGGTTGGAGATAGGACAGTTGTTCAGAGTAAGAGTATTGGTTCGAATTCAAAGAGGGTCTATTGTAAGTCGGCAGCTGGCTGTTGAACCTGTGACAGAGGTTCGGGGTTATTGTTAGATTATAAAGGGTTGTGAAGTTCACTGGTGTATTGTACGCGCCCACGGTGGTCGTGACCCTGAATACTCAGGGGTATCAGAGGCACTAGGCTCTCCCGCCCTCATTTACCTGTGATCTAGCTAATGCTCTGACATTTATCATAGGTCATGACGTGGGATATCAACTTGTCGCCATCTCATCCTTTTTGAAGAATAGTCGGTATAGCCCTCAAAAGGGCACTGTTACGTCCTAACCCCCAAAAATTAGTTGGAGCGCCAATAACGCAGCGGGAAGGACAAAAATAAAGTTTTGCCACAGTAAGGTGGGGTAAAAGTGTGCTTTGAAGTCTATAATATATAATAATGTATTTAAACCTAATGATTAAGTAAGTACTTTCGACTGGTCCGACGAATGGTTCCCTTGCTGAATTAAACTTTGGAACAATACCAGTTTCGTTACTTTCCAATACTCATGATCTCAGGACAAAGTTACTTAAAATCTTCTAAAATTCTTTTCGTCACTCAATAATGACAATGATAAAGCAAGATCTCAAAGAACTCAGATAATAGTGAAGGGCATTATACCCTATACCCAGGTAGTAGGTCTTTACGAGCTCTAGTAGTATTTAGCCACAATACCAGGTGGCACAATACCAATGACAGGGAAGAAAAGTGACGGCCTGCACAGCAGACAGCTCCGAACACACCCCACAGATCCCCGGTCAAACCCGTACAACCAGGACAAAGTGTGGTCAGTGATCATTTACTGATCACTCACTGATCACGTACTGGTCACTTACTAATCACTTACTGGTCACTTACTAATCACTTACTAATCACTTACTAATCACTTACTAATCACTTACTGATCACTTATTAATCACTTACTGGGATGGAATTGAAAAGTGCGCTTCTTGAGCCGCTCCAAATATTAGTCATCTAAATTACGAGATGTGACGGCAATCAGCACCAACAAGTTTACTAGTGCTCAGTTAGCCAAAACAAAACACCAAGCCGTGCCAGTAGCCACATAATTACCAATTCATACTATGTTGTTAGCACTCATAATCTTTAAAACACTTAGTCCCAGTTCTAAACTATCCTAGACTATTCTAGACACCATCACTCATTATTTTTCTTTACTACAACCCTGTCTAGTCACAGACTACCGATCACAATATCACAGCAATTCAACAATAGAAAAGCTTCCCGAGAAGTTATCAGGATTATTCGCTCACTTACAGTCACTGTAAACCTATTTCCAGGAAACGAGGCAACCGACCTGGTTCACGCTGCGGATGACCTTTTCCGTGAAATAGAAAGGCTTAACGACGTTAAGAGCCATGCAAAATGAATACTCTTCGAAAGGGTAATCGGGAAATAATTCGTCAATATTGAAATAAATTAGAAAGGGAAAGGTCTGTTTTTTTCTAACAGTATCATAGCTACCCATCCTACTTAGCATTATAAATACTATAAGCTGACTTCAAGCAAAAACATCCCAACAGAACGGGGAACTTGCGAGAACAGGGAGAGCAGAATTAGTGGTCAGGAATGTGTATTAACTCACCAGTCACCACTCGCCGTGAGTAGAGCTCTCAATTGAACACAGAACAGTTGTCAAGTTTAATGGCAGTATAGAGAATTATCAGTTAGCTCTGAATATTTATCTCGCTGCAGCCAAACCCAATTTTACCGGGAACCGCGATATACCGGATAGTCCTTATAGATTCCCCTCCCTTCAGATCCCCCGATGTTGATCACTCTAATTTGTTGAGTGTAAAACAAAATTCCCATTTACTGGGCACCCCGATTTACCGAGGCTATCTCCTCCCCCATATCAAGCCTGATAAATCGAGGTTTAACCGTACTAATCACATAGTGTGTCATGAAACACAGATAGTCACCTCAGAGTGGTCATGTTATAAAGCTGCTGCTGTTGCTGCTGACTGTTGCTACTCTCAGCTGTGCTGGTATTCGGCCCTGGGAAGATGTGGTATGTGAGCCAACTCGACTAATAGAATTGCAAAAATAGCATTTCAAAAATAGTATATTCTATTTATAAAACAGGATATTAATATTCTATTTTTACACAGCTATCATTGTTATTCTATGGAAATCTATAATACTAAGGCCCGTTATAAGTTTTCCTCGTGCGAAATGGTCTCGTACGAAATGGTCTCAGACCTGTCACTCCGGGTCCCGGGAGACAGGCTGAGACTTAAATAAAACCTGAACAGCAAATCTGGCTACTAGCAAGTGGCTCACTAAAACAAACTGCTGCACATATTGATTGTAATTCAGGATGAGTCAGTAACCATGGTAACATGGTAACTCTAGTCACTTACTGGCAGCGTTTTGAGTTAGAGTGTTGTTCTGTGTAACTGAAATTAACAATATTTAATGTCGTTTATTGGGAGGTTGATTAGCTTCAATATCCAAATGGTGGGTTTTCGCAGAGTTGGAGGCAACTTAAAGCCATTATTTAAAACTGTAATATATCATAATCAGATAGCCACTAAGCCACTAGTTTATTCAATATCACCGTACATTCAAAGATACGGTCAAAGAGCTATCTCCTCCCCGCTAAAGGTTGAGTTTCAATTATAAACTTAAACAAAAGAAGGTTAAATCTAACAAATAAAAATAGAGTGCATTGGAGATTTATAAAAAACAGCTGTGCATATTAAAATACTAGAGCTCTAAACGACAATATTTAAAAGACCTACCTTGAATACCGGCATTCTGCTGCAGCCCAACTGTTTGCATAACTTGAGTTGGCTGAATTTGCAGGGTATTGTTCGACTGAAAAATAGTTTATTATTGACTGGGGCTGCTATAACATAAATGATACCGAAATTACTAATAAAACGTTATCACGATGATGATAATTTAATAAAAATTGCGGAAATCTTGTTTTTGCACAATTTTGCAGAATTTCGCAGAATTCTGATAAGACTCAGTGACGACGATGTGTGATAAAGGAAAGCTGATGTTACGTTTCGAAGCTTCTCACTCTTCACGATTGATCTAGCTTTATTCGTATTATGTGTAAAAGTGACGTAATTGAGACTTCGGTGGCCACAGAGTCTCCTTTTGAAAGTCGTCCTTTATAGTAACATGCATACATTTCGGCCCATTTCATAGGAAAGTGTCAAATATTCTAATTCTGACTACTAATTAATTCAAACTACGTTCATTCGCAAAAATGAATATCATTCTTATGTTATTGGTGTTATTTGATGTTATTGGTGTTATTTGATGCTTTCCTCGAACCAGTGATGATTATCTCAATCGGGCACTCGGCGATTGAGCTACAAACCCCAACGTATGTGTACTGACTTTCAGCCTACCCTGTACAACGTGCAAACCGAGATTCGCACTTAAACTTAGATGATTCGAATTCAAAATCTCCGCAGTTTTTGATGAAAATTTAATACAAATAGAAGGTAAAATGTATGTGGAAAACTGGAGCAAATAGAAACATAAACCCGATAAAACGCGTCATACTCAGTACTAGATAAAAAAATCATACACTTACCACAAACACAATATAAAAGATAAAGGAGATGAAGGAAGTAATAGAACGGTCGATGGCCTAGCAGTAGTAACGACCCTAATCTTAATACTGTCTCTAGTTGATATGTCACATACGCTTAACGCTGGAGTTTTCAGCTTCCGTCCTGGATTTTTCGAATATTTAGATGAGAGGCCATCTATTTAGTACGTCCGGTATATGAGGGGGATGGTTTCAATTCTGACGTCTGGAATTTCGGTGAAAAATAAAGCGAAAATTGCTACATTTTACAAGGGATGGCCCCTAAGGAGTCCGTGATGTTTTTGATGTCTTTGATGTACTTACGAAAAGTACTTTTAAAAACACACTATCTATTTTTACTCTTTACAGTTAGAATTATCTTCGTATTTGTTTCGTGCATGTATTTGACCGTTATCTTTTCGAAAATGCCCAGTTTTTTAATTCGGATCCGTTGTCAAATTTTTGGTGTGAATCTTAGTGTGAATTTCGTAACTTCTAGCTTCCCTAACTCATCACTGAGTCTCATTGGAAACAATAATTTAATGAGGCTCAATAACGGTACACGGCTAACTCAGCTTATTTATGATATAGACCAATTTGAAAAATAATCTGAATAAAAGTAACTATAAAATTGTATACAATCTGAGAAAACTATTAGAAACGCCATTCATCTTCCCTTCATCTAAATGGCTCAAGGTTAATGTTTAATTTTTCCACCTCTATTTTCAATTTTGTAACATCTCAACTTACAGCCAGTGGCGTAACTTAGGGCCCCGCAGACCCCGCTGTGCGGAGGGGGGGGGGGCGCCGTATAAGGGGGGCGCAATTTTCCTGAATTTTAGGACCTTTCACTAAAAAAACGCCTTATTTGTGTATTTTCCTGTCCAATTTAGTTCGGTGGACGCGAAAAAAATATTTGGGGTACCCTTTTTTGCTTCAGGGGGGCGCAAAAAGCTGTAGGGGGGCGAGAAAAAAAGGTCGGGTACTTTTTTTTTTAGGGACACAAAACATTTTAGAGAGGGGGGGCACTTTTCGTCACTGAGCGGGGGGGGGGCGCCAACAGGCAAAGTTACGCCACTGCTTACAGCCTCCATCAGACAATAAACTCCAGATAAAATATGAAGCTTACTGCACCCCAAATGGGATAAGAAGGCTCCATCACCTCCAGACGATATATTATGTTGCCGTTATGTCCCCCTTAGATGGGATGTGATGCCTCTGATATCAGAAGCTAGGTTCATACTTAAATCTTTTGCCACAGTTCAGCCAGTCATATCAATGGTCAGTCTCTACTTTTTGATATGATCTGATTCAGTTCATTAATACGTATTTTCCACCTATTTCATATCGTGGAACTGACTATTTCTGTCGGGGATTACATCAGAAGTTCACGTGATTCGCATTTAATTTGGGTGATAGGCGCGCATAGCGCGCGCGGAAACATCAAAGGCGCACTAAATGACTAAAAGGATCCTTTTCTTTCACAATTGTCATATCTTTGCTAGTCGCATAGCTGTTTTTGCGACCATGTCCCCCTTGAACAAACTTCCCGCCGTACGATTATACCCAATCACCAAGCCGCACTAGAAACTTCAGTCACATAACAATACTCACAGAAAGATTCAGGCTGGCTTGGTTGCCAATGACTATGGGCTGAGAGTTCTGGGTTGGCTGCTGATTGGTAATCTGAAAAGGATAGGTGTGGTCATCAACGATCCAACTGGAACGAAAACAAAGAAAGCATTATTTTACTGGGATTTGATCGATTTATCAGTTCAGACGTTAGAAATCTTAGTGAGTTGGTTAAACGAGTCCAATACTTAATAATTGACATTAATTTACTAAATATACATACAATGCGCTAAATTGACTCAGTCCTGCATAATCTACACTCAAATAGCACGCAGTAACACACTCCATCTGATCTTAGTAAATCAACTAACTATTACAATTGTATTACCGCAACTCTAGGCTATTTTCCAAAATACTTCGAAAGAGGTTACCAAGTTACTACATTCTGTTTCCAAGCCACAATGGCCGGTCTTACAAAGAAACTATTTGTTGTCCAGCGTTGACAGACATCTCCTGTGTTCCAACAACAACAGGTTTATGATACGTCCCAGTTAGAGCCTTTCTCAAGTGGACTCATCTCGGCTGTTTCTGTTACTCTTTGAACCTACTTAGGATTGCCTAATTGCCAAGTATCTCTGCTAATGGTTGTCAATTAAGTCGATAAGCCTTGCAATGGTTCACTCCCTTCTAATAAGCACTAAATAAAACTTAGATTTCGTACAAGATAAAACCCTCAAAATATTAGCCTCCTTTTTATTTAGTCTTTATTTATTAGAAATCAGTCCATACCTAAATTTTGTACAAGATCTGCTACTGAATCATTGTGTTTTGTAAACTTTCAAAATAGGCATCATGTAGCCTCCAGGCTCGACAAACCCCGACAAACCCCGACAAACCCCGACATATCCCGACGAGGGGTTTTGCCTCGGGCCCACCGGCTACATGAGGCCTTCTTGTATAGTGTTTTTCCACGTAAAGCTTGATGACTCCGTCTCGGCTTTTTGTTGGAAAAAAAAAAAAAAAAAAAAAAAAGCCTCCAGGCTCGACAAACCGGAAACCCCGTCAAACCCCGTCAAACCCTGACAAACCCCGACAAACCCCGACAAACCCCGACAAACCCTGACAAATCCCGACAAACCCCGACGTGTCAAGATATGTCGTATCATGTCGGGCCCACCGGCTACATGATGCCTCAAAATTCAAATGTAATTCTTGTAATACTTGTTCTGGTGACACACACCTGTTGTGGCTGAGTACTAGAGGCAGTTTGTATATTAGTTGTAGAGTTTGCTGATGAAGTGGCTGGGTTTGCCAGCTGGAAGTAATACTGAACTTGATCCGCATTTGGAGTCCGTATTTCAGTCTCCTGGACGGTTTCCTATAATGGAACGGTTGAAAATCAAAAATTAATATGTAATAATGGATGGATAAATTGAATATCATGACTGCTGAGTGCTGGTAGCACTTTAGTATGAGGATAGAATCAATCATGAAAACATAACGTCTTACCTGTCGTTTTTGGGGTTTTAGTTCATCCCGAGGGACGATATCAATCAGGAAATCAAACTGGTCATACTTTGCCACTGCCATAGCTATGTCGTTTCTCTGAAAAGGGAAAGTACAATATACTTTTAATGTACTCTAAACTGAGCGGCAAATGAGCCAAATTAATTTGTCTTCGTTACTGTCGTTAACATCTCAACACTAATTCTCTGGAATGCACCCAGGGGGCTTTTTACTTCATGGACGCTCAGTTTTATCCAGCATGTTTGGGTAAAACATGTTTAAAATAAAACCTGCTTATTTGATTAATTAACTTAAGGTTGACGTAAGTCATGAGCTGTGATGAGGGGGTGAGGGGGAACAAGTTAATAAGATTGCTTGATGGATTATCTGCGAGGGTAAAATTATCAGATAGTTAGTTTGAAGGAAACTAAAGGGTGAGTGTGTAAAATTACATCTTAAAACAGGCAGTATCTTGCCAAGGTTTAACTCTACTCCAGATGGTAAATTAATGTACAGCTACGTACCTTATTATTTTCTACATGATGTCATGATTTAATAAGACTAGCAGGAACCCGTATAACCTTAAAATGGTGTCAAGACTCAAGAGACTAAAATAATTATTACCTATTTAATTTTAATTCGCGTTTTTGACACCACTTGGGGGTCCAAATTTTGGGCTCTATAACTCCTATTTCTTGGCCTATTTTTTATTTTTTCATGCTGATTTGGAGGCCATTAAAGCATTTGACCCAATCAAAAAAGTTTCAGTTGTATATCTTTTACGGTTTTTGCGGAAAGTCGCGTTAAAGTTGATGCCGTGGTGTCAGTAAAATGGCACGGAACCATATATATCGTCTCGCTTTATATATAGTAAGATATCTTGAATTTAATAAAAGGTACAGTATAACAGTAGTCAGTACGTGAACTTATAGATGTAATGTAAGGCTCTGTGTATGATTGCTGCCTGCTCCGTTAAACAACCAACATTAAGCAAATAAAAGCTCAGGGTCTCCACTCAGGCATGTATGAATGTAAGGTATGTACGGAGTTATTGACTTCATTACACCCCCGGATGTACCTTAATGAGAGTAATTAAGCAATTAGCTGGAGAGAGAATCCTGCCCAGTTACATTACGAAGAATACTTCAGGAATGTTTTCTTACATCAGTTCATTTAATAGTATAACTAGGGTATGGGAGATGATGGAGATTATGGATTAGGTATAATCAGATGAAGTATATTTTTATCTGCAATAAGAGTGATATTAACTTTTTAACATTGTTTAAACTTTTTAAGTGAGTAAAATAAATGAAACAACATTTTTCTTAGCTAAAATTGTTCCCAGGATCGGATAGAGAAGTACGAAAAAAGTTTCAACTAGAGACAAAATCAGAATTCAAGATAATATCTTCCAAGATTGGAGTAGAAGTATCGAGAATTTCGGAAAAAAATCCGAGAATATCACCAAACACCGAATGCAACCTAAATAACTAATAGTGTAAATTTACCGCACACATATTTTACCTGTAAAGTTCGCCTCTTGTTGTCCTCGGTGTGTATCCAGGCTCGCAGAGATAACTCGTTGATAAATATCTCGGCTGCTTTAGCAAATAGCACTGGTGCTTCTGCACTTATCATCTGCAATTGATTTTTCACTGTTACACTTTAAATATAATAGACTGTTATTTCAGTTCATAGTGCATGCTTTGAGAAAAGTTTAGTGTGCAGACAACATTACATTTTGTGCAGATAGGATTCATATCAGTTTTTTCACAAAAATTTGGATATGCATTGTGCAATTAGAATTGCTCCTGTGCAGGTAACGAGGTTACCAGGTTAAGGTTTTTTCTACGCATGTCATAGTGTCCAATAAAAAGTGAAGAATGTTGATCTCAAGAATATCATGCACCTCGTCTGCAGATGTATCATTAAATGTCAAATTCCTAGGGACTGTGTGCCAGTAATAATTGCATGATTAGCAGTCATTAACACAACGATCATGACATTAGAAATAGGAGCCACTTTTCCAATGGGTGTGAGCTGCAGCACTTAACCATAATAGCACGTGATCTGCAATAATAGCACGTGATCTGCAATCCGATCACATGATCCAATTACTACTTACTGACGTATCCAGCCATAACTCACATGAGCACATTGGTCAAATCACGTGACCTTCACCTCACGCTTATCATGTGATCCGATCCAAATGAGCACTCCCTGACTCCCCGTTCTCAATTAACAAATTCCACAGCCCTACACAAGCACTAATAAGGGGTGAGGTGTGAAGTGGGCAGGTATATAAGCCTCCATCTCATTACCGTTCACATCATCAGTTCCACTTCCAGTCTACATCTCAAGTTATAACTACATTTCATCTACCTACCATGTCTCTGTTTGAATCCTACCACCTGATGGGAGATCCTGCCGGGTTCCACCACTACATCTCCCAGCCCTCTGACGACGTGGTCCATGTTGAAATGTTAAACCACACCTCCTACTCCAGATCTCTTTCACCCTCTATCTATAACACTTCTCTCCTTGATGAAGTGTTCCTCTTCACACCGCATCAGATGGACCCTCTAGTTGAGTCATTCTTCTCCTTTAAAGAAGAGAGTCCAGCCTCCTACGACTATCTAATGAGCTTCACTTTCCCTGACGGCACCCTTCCGGGATCTGAAGGAGACGTGTCCCACCCCTGGCTACATCTGACAAGCTCGTGGAGCAGCATGGAGACTCTCTACGATACAACCCCCTCGGAGATAGAGCAGGAGAACTACCTGGAACACCTTCGGAATACACCTCACCCGGAGAGGCTGTACAATGTGATGAACTGCGGAGGCAACTTGATAGGATCCTGCTCGAGAGCTCCTGAGTTTTCCAGGAGATCTTGTGGTTCGGGGAATGAGAAACGGAACAAATCTAAGAATCTTGTTACTAAGATTAGATCGCTTGTCAGGAGGCTTAAGAAGTAGAATGATTTGTTGGTTATAATTGTATTGTTCGAGGTTTTGTTTTATGGAACCAATGTAAGCTTATTTATTTATATAATCAATTATTCAATCACGAAAATCTTTGTTTACTGATCTACAGAAAATTGAAAAATATCAACAAAGGCATATCATAATAAAGCAACTCAATACACAATATTATAGGGACGCTACCTATTTTCGCAAATACACCACTTGGTGATGAGAAATTAAATATTTACTCACAGACCTATGATAAGAACGGCATAATTTTGAAATTGTTACGAGAAAAATAAATTCAGAAATATACCCACTTTAACTTCTTCGTCCATCTTCATTATCTTCTTTATTCTAGCCAGAGGCAATTCCTGTGTCTTGAAATCTTGCTGAAGATAATAAGTGATTATTAGATAATATCATTGAGATGTTGCACGGTGTATTTAATTTTAACGTGATAAACTATGAAAAAATGGCTTTATGGTTCGGGGGTGTGAGAACTGAGGAATATCTAGAGTTTGAGCCTGGTGGTTAATTTTCTGACATTCCAGTCGTTTTTGCATGTATCCCACGGAGTAAATATTTTTAATTTAGAGCTGCCTGCTAACATATCTTGCTTCTTGTTATAGAAACTGAGTAGCAGTTGCTCATAGAATGATGGGACGCTGATTTCGAATTGTAAATTCATCTAGCGGGAATTCATACTGCCTCTGGTATATTACTTTTGATAATGTGTCATTTAAGTCATAATCAATTTATAAATACAGAAAATTGGAACTTTATGCAACACATCACAAATAATTTCTCTGTAAATTTTACTGGACTGATCATCAATTGTGCTGTCTAAACATCTACTCTGTCATCCAAAACATCACAAATAAAGATTCACTAACCGAGCATGAGTTCTATGTATTTAAAAAATGTATGAAATGTGCAAAACTCATTATCTAATTTTTTTTAAATTGCAAGGTTGAAAGTGTTTGGTCATATTTATGTCCTTCGTATCCCACATGCACAGCCTTTGGGAATATGCAGGTGGCTTTACGTGATAGTAAAAAAAGCACTATATAAATACAAAAATTGACCAATGTTCTAACAAGAATTGCGCTCGTTGTTTCGTTTTGGCGGACGCTAGATTTCCATTCACTATAACTATAAGTATAAGCTCTAATTACGGGTATATAATGACCCCCAGAATATAGGTGGCCCCCAAAATATAGGTCATGTTAGTGGATACAGTTCTAACCAAGATAAGCGATACTAATCGGATCTGTTACTGCTAGGTTGGAGTAAAGCATGTAACTAATGTTTCTGGATAAGAATTTTGGACCTACATGAGGTATTTTGGTATATTTGGTCATGACAGCGAAAGATTTAAATGATGTTGTCATTTTCTAGAGGGGTAAATATGGCGAAAAATGGTCATGACAAAAATCTGTCCAACACATGCCAGGCCCCCAGAATATAGGTCTAATGGAGGCGCAGAGACATGTTGATGGCAAGGTCGTAGAGACATGAGACCTTGACCAATGTTAACCTTTCTATCACGTTTATATTAGACTAAATTGCTTTCGGGGCCCTATCTAGACGTTTAAAGGTCAAAAATGGCAATTTTAAGAATTTTACCTGTATTTAAAGGGCCTCGAAAAATAAGGGCGTGGCCCGTGGGTCCAGATTCCGATGGAGTTGAGCCACGAAATTTTTCAAGGCAGTATTTTAGCCAAGGCATCAACTAATAAGCTTGGACCCAGAGCGATTGGATCAACTTCGGTTTTTATGAACCAACCTAATGGGTATATGGCCCCCAGAATATAGGTTTAAAAAAAAGATAGCGACCAAGATTCTGCATTTTCTCTGTCACCCTGAGCATTAAGGAATGTGGGGTAGTGATGAGAAACAGTTAAAGAACATTATATGCTGAAGAGATGGCATCATCAAAATGTATGAAGATGGAGTATTTGAGGACGATTTTTGCATACCTATATTCTGGGGGCCGTAGTTTTTGGTTTTTTGCTATTAAGTATACTCTAAACCATTTCAATTTAAAGAATTTAGTATCTGGAGCCATTGGCATCATCAATACAGTCTCAGCAACATATTCTGACTGCATATAAAGATATAACTGTCTGTGACAATTTTAGAAAAACTTAGGAACAGATGTTTGGACCTATATTCTGGGGGCCCTGTTAAAAAATGGTATTTTTACAGGTAAAAAAAAAGTACACTTTAAAACCTAATAATTATTTTCAACTACCCAAGAAACATTTAAAGGGTTATTATGTACATATTTACACCCCTAAACATGCTTAGAAGTAGTTTTAACACCTGTTTCTAGGTGCTCAAAAAGCGACCTATATTCTGGGGGTCATATACCCGTAGCTCACTTCATAATAATAATATTGATAAATTATGGTTTAAATACGGGAAACACTTGAAAATAAAATCAATTCAATTGCTGTATAATTTAACTTGTATCTGTAATTCAAGAAATTGTAAGCGAAAGTAAACTATACTCATGTTTTATACACATCAGTACACTACGCGTGCCACATACAAATTGGGCCGATTACCTAATATAATACTATACATTACATAGTATACATTAAAATACACTCGCGCCGCGCATTCATTGACCACAGGCTAGCTATACACCACATCTCCGCAAGCAATCGTTGGGGGGGGGGGGGGTACCACTGTCCATTTTGTCCATTTTGTCTTTGTCTTTTTTTACATTTTTTTTGTGAAGGACAGTGTTTTGGGGACAAAATGGACAACACTAGGGACAAAAGGGACAAAAATTTTGGACAAATGAGACAAAAAATTAGACAAGCTCAAATGTAGAGAATGTATATATATTCTACTCGACATCAACAATTTAGATTTTCATGTCAGTGTTTTGCTGTACTTAGAATCAACTGAAACCACTGAAGGGACTGAAATAAGCAGAATTCATCAACGGCATCACATAAATAAATGTGTACACGGTTCAGTCAATATGTCATTAATCCCATTAATCAAGTGGTGATATCAAAAAAGTCATCATCTTTTAATATCATAACGCTCATAGCGGCCAGAAGCAGATACCCAGACCCACACAATTACTTTTCCATTAACAATATAATGCCGACAATATCGAGCTAATGGGTATTCGCTTTTTCCTATGAAGTAGGAGAAAAAGCATGCCCGTCCTCTAATCAAGATTTTCTTATTCCTCCTCTTTTTCCTGAACATTTGTCTCGTTTGTCCCTGTCCTTTTTGTCCATTTTGTCCATTTGGTCCCTGTCTTTTTGTCCATTTTGTCCTTTTTGTCCCCGTCTTTTTTGTCTTTTTTGTCTTTTTTGTCCCTATTATCTTTTTTTGTCCCTTTTGTCCCTCTTGTCCCTTTTGTCTTTGTCTTTTTTTTCAGTTTTTTTTGTGCAGGGATAAAATGGACAGTGGTACCCCCCCCATCGTTGCGCGGTGCGCGCGGCAAGTTGACATGGTAACTAACGAAAGTAAGGACTGACGACATATTCAGACCTACCTACAGCGATCTACAAAATCCACATTTTTCTGCAAAAAAGACCATTTGTAACCTTTCACTATTGCTTTTTTACAAAAGGGTGAAATGGAAAAAATAATTTGGTAATAATTATACTTACAACAGTATTTATCTCCTCATTGACAGTATTCCAAAAGCTGGCCAACTTCTGCTGAGCATCAGTAGATCCAGTAGAGCTGTAAAGTCCTGTATCCATGTTGACACAAAGTGCTTACTTTTACAGTAGGTATCAAGTATTGTTCATACCATTTTTGCTGGGATAATTTGATGATGTTAATTTTGATGATATGATAAATATATATTTTATATTTTATCACTTACGTTAAGGTGAGAGATAAATACTCCAGAATCTATATTATATTCATCATCAGTATTAGAGTTGAAAAACCTGTACCAGAAGCAGTGGTGTAACGTTGCCTGTTGGCTAGTTTTGCTAGTACCTCAGTTAAGTTTTTCAAGATTATCCCACATTCAAACGACGATTTTCCTCCCCCCTCTGTGGTTCCTAACCTTCTTTCTTCACTACGCATACGGGAACTGAGTCATGAAGTTGTTTTCAGTTTTCATTGCCAATAATTTCATCTACTGGTATCTCTAGTAGGTTTCTTATTGTCTTATAAACCTTAAAATAAATTTCCTTATTTTGTTTGAAACTTAGTGCTAGATTTATTTACTGTTTCTTCCATAACCTGAAGTGGAGGTATTATACGTTTAACATTTTGTATACTGATTGATAGTAAAACAGTAGGGAGCGACTACTTGGTAATACAACCACTTTATATAATCAGACATAGATCGCACCTCACGCCCATGTTCAGCAACTGAAGCGAAAGTAAGGAACAAAACAGAGTGATGATCTTGCACAGTCGAGAGTAGCTGAGTCACGCAATGTGTTTAACATGACATACAATGTACCCGTACCTTTATGATAAAATTGTTTTTAAATATAGAAGAAGTAAGATTATTCAAACAATATACACATAATATAAAAATTACCCTATATAAAAATTCAATATAAATTCAATAGAAAACTAAATAAACACCCTTTAAGTAGTATAAGTAAGCCAGTTTAAAGAACTGGATCCAAATTTATATCTAATTCTGCTATTTTTACTGCACTACTACTTTTTAACCCTCTCTCTCCTCTAAGAGCTATGACTGTTGTTCTCAAAAGGTCAAATCTTACTCTCTTCCTAATAAATGTCATTGCCTCACTATATCGTTGGCCTGATTTCCTAGAAAGTTTATCCGCTAATTTCTTGAAGAACTTATTAGCTTCCCTTCCCATACCCCCAGTGGTTGATAGGACTATCGGTGTAAACGTCCCATGTTCCACTTCTACAATCCTTTTATTGTATAAATTCTTTTTCTGTCTCTCGTGGCTATTGTACATAGTGGTTGGAGATCCAAGAGCCTTATTGGAAGGAGCTTGAGCATGAAATATTCTTACATCTAAAAATGCCCTTTCCAATGGGTTCCATACACTCCTAGCACTAACATCTAATCTAGCTCCATCTGCTTTGTTGGCCCCTGCAGGAAGTTCTCTCCCATTGACAGGAATGAGGAGAGGTTCAGTGGTAACATCTTTACAGCCAGCAGTTTCTAATAGCTCTGCTATCACATCCCTCAATGAGTTGTGGCGAAGAGATACATATCCACCCCTTTTGCATATTAATGAGTGGTTTATTGAGTTGTCACTTCCACATACACATTTTCTTGCAGCATCTTTTATCCCAAAGTTGTACCTTAGGGCTAGGGCATCATTGAATTCTTGCTTGTTGAGACAGAATCCGAATGATTTGAGCGGGAGTGACGAAAGCCAGGAACTTGCCCCTATCTCTGATGTAAGATCTAATTGCAATTTTTGGGTTTCATTCAGGTCATTTGTAACCTCTTCTTTTCTCTCCTTGAAAAACTCTTCCCTTGATTTTCGGATTTCAGTCTTGATCTCTACTAGTTTTTCCTGATCATCAAAAAAATCTTGGTGCTGGTTGTATATTGCTTCTGTAAGATCTAATGTTACTTTGCAGGAATACTCGTACTCTAGGTCAGACATCAAACTCAGATACATACAATGTAATGGATTTTTTAATGTTTCAAACAGTATACACATAATGTCACAATGACCCTATATAAAAATAACCCTTCAAAAAGTCAATATTTTGAAAATCACCCTTGGCTTTGTGGCTCCAAGTTCAAATCTAAACTGTCTATATTGACAAAGTTCTTTCTCGCCCCTCTGTCTCCCCAGAGAGAAATTACCGTCGTTCTTAAGATTTCGAAACGAAGGCGCTTCCTTATGTATCCCACAGCATCTGCCCTGTGTGGTATTCCATAGCTTCACCACCCATTCCACCAGACACCCATTCCACCAGACGTTGAGAAAACTAACGGCGTGAAGCTTCCTTTCTCTACTTCCAGGACCCTTGCCTTGTAACACCGTTTTTTTCTGGTACATTGCTGGGATTGATTTGCTTGCATTGGAGGGGGCTGGGGCATGGAATACCCTTACATCAAAAAAATGCCCTCTCTGAAGTATTCCAAATCGATCTTGCAGAAATGTCCAGCCTAGCTTGGTCTCCTAGGACTGTTCCCTTTGGCAGCTCTAGACCATCAACTGGAAGAAGAAATGGTTCAGTCTGCACATCCTTGCATTTCACAGTTCTCATTAGTTCTGCAAAGGTGTCTCTCAACGAGTTGTGCCGCAGTGACACATATCCACCAAGTTTGCAGATGAGCGCATGGTTTGCTGAATATTTCTGGCCACACGTACATGTTTTAGGGCAATCCTTTAGGTTCAGGTGCTATCTATGCGCTATTACAATGTAATGGATACCTTTTGCTTGCACTAGTGCTAGCGACTGTCATAGACTGGTGCAGTGTACTTAGGTATTTTTTGAGCGCGTGCAATGATGGATGGATTATCATATTAATTTTACAAATTTTACTGCAATATACTATACATGCGCTATACAATTAAAATAGTAAAAACAGTCAAACGTGAAATAATAATAGAAAAGTTATAATTAATAATAACAAAGAAATAAAGGTATTAAAACAATATAAAAATAATATGAATATATCAAATTGACCCTAAATAAAATGAAAACTTCAAAATTCAATATATTTGCTAATTAAAATATTAGTTGATATACCATCAAATTTAAAAAACTATCTCCGCGTCAGCCGTCTGCACATTTTTGCATTTCACAGTTCTCGTTATATTTCTGCACAGATGTCTTTCATGAATGAGTTATGCTTCAACTAACCATGTGCTTTCGTGCCACTGCGGGCGCGCTTGTTTCACGGGAGGCGGGTGCGCGCGCCACTGCAAGCGCAAAGGCTATTACTGGGTCGCGCTCAGCCTGTCATTCCGCCTTATCTCTATGTTTATGGACATGATAACTTGAGGTCCCACGGTAAAGAGCAAAATCATGTCGCAGTGACACGCGCGTACCGTTGCTCTAACCAGAGCGCTCTCGCTTGCAGTTTGAAACAAGCGCGTCACGCAGTACGCGTAGACACATGGCTTTGTGAAACACGTGCGTATCCACCGAGTTTGCAAATTGAGTGCATGCCTGATTCTGATGCCATGCATGGTCTGCTGATCATTTTTTGGTTTTGGGTGCAGGTGGCCTTATTCCTTAAATAGTTATTTCATATTTGAGACTTTAACCCGGCCCTTTACATTGTTATTCACCTTATTACGTGCTTTCGCGCCACTGCAGGCGCGCTTGTTTCACAATTACAACGGGAGGCAGGCGCGCGCCATTGCAAGCGTAAGGGCTCTGCACTTTGGATAAAACAACGTGACGCTATGGTTAGAAAAAAAATATGGTTGGAAAATACATATTTAGAATACCTGATTTGCAAGCATTGTACATTTGACAGTGCTCTAACCTGAGCCGAGAGCCCTGCACTTTCACTTAACTATGCTATGTTAAGGCTCATGGTTGGTTGTAGGTTTATAACCTACCAAAACGCGCGCCGAGTTGGACTCGTCGACGGTCTTTTGAAACAAATATTTAACGAGTATCACCCGTTAAATTGTAAATGGTTAATAAGGTAGAAGCATGACATGTAACATTTTATTGTAAAAAATTTCATGAATCGGAATTAAATCGTAAATTGTATTTTACTAAACTAGTACAGCCACACATTACCAATCAAATTATGAATTAGTAGTTCTCTGAAAATGAAGAAATAATTGGACGGCGGACGCAGTCATTTGCTGCAAAAAGTTTAAGTTCACGTTGTGGGATGCAAAGTTCGTGCTACACCGTTGACATGACAATATAATATACATGATTAATGCAGATGATCAATTATAAAAAGAAAAACGAGGTTACACAACAAAAATGTTTCTAGTCATGCATGAATTGCACATCAATAACAATTTTATAAACCATTAACTCTAATAGTGCTTGTTTGATAACAATTTTAATTGAAATCTACCGATCTATAATCAGTGATTTAACTGCTTGTGCAGATGCATTTAACAGTACAATTGGCATATAGGTGTTGAGTAAGTATCGATTTGTTTGCTTTATGGATTTCTCCTACGAAACTGTCAGTCTACAGCAATAAATGATTGATGGTTCACGTCATCAGGGAACAATAGTGACATATAGTTACATGTCACCTTATCTTTTCGAAAAAGACAAAGACATTGGAGACATTGGAGACATTGGAGACATTGGACATTACCTGAGGACCCCAGGCTATTATGTTCATTAACAATAAAGATTTGGCGGAATGACAGGCTGAGCGCGGCCCAGTAAATTGGACACAGCTTTTGGAGACATTGGAGACATTGGAGACATTAGGGACATTGGAGACATTGGAGACATTAGGGACATTGGAGACACAGCTTTTGGAGACATTGGAGACATTGGGGACATCAGGGACATTGGAGACATTGGGGGCATTAGGGACATTGGAGACATTGGGGACAATAGGGACATTGGAGACATTGGAGACATTGGGGACATTTGGGACATTGGAGACATTAGAGACACAGCTTTTGGAGACATTGGGAACGGGGCTAGGTGGCCTAGTGGTTAGAGCATCCGCCTTCTGCGCAGAATGTTCAGGGTTCGAATTCCAGTGTTACCTAGTCTAGGGAGTAGCTAAGGATCCATCGGATCTATGCAATCTCCTCGGTCGACTCAGCCGAATGATAGGAAACTTAATTGAGGGTTAAATGAGGAGGAGCACCTGTTAAAAGTTCAAGAAACTTCTTAGGATACCCTTTCAGTGCATACTGTAAACATAATACTATTACTATATTACTATTACTATTACATTGGGGACATAAAATGGATAGTAGGGGCACTGGGGATATTTTGAAGTTTGTGTCTCCAGTAATCAACGTATCCCTTCTATTCATTTTCACCAAGTTTTGTAGAAATTTAGAACAATGGAGACAAATTGCTCTATCTTACTATATATAAAGCGAGACGAAACATATTTACCGTGCCATTTTACTGACACCACGTCATCAATTTTAACGCAAATTTCCGCAAAAACCGTAAAAGATATACAACTGAAACCTTTTTGACTGGGTCAAATGCTTTAATGGCCTCCAAATCAGCATGAAAAAAATAAAAAATTTACCAAGAAATAGGAGTTTTAGAGCCCAAAATTTTGTACCCCAAGTGGTGTCAAAAACGTGAATTAAATACGGTAGTTAAAAATTATTAATTATTTTAGTCTCTTGAGTCTTGACATTTTAGGGTTATACGGGTTCTTGCCAGTACTAACAGTAACTAGTAGGGATCACACAGACAGACAATAATCTTCTAGTTCTTGATTCCTCATCATTTAGGTGGGGGTGTGGCACAATCATACATCTACGTCTCCAGTGTCTCCAATGTCTTCAATGTCTCCAAAAGCTTTGTCTCCAATGTCCCCAATGTCTCCAATGTCTCCAAAAGCTGTGTCTCCAATGTCTCCAGGACACGTCTCCGCACCCTATCTTTTCAAAAAAGACAAGAGACATTGGAGACATTGAAGACGTGTCATGCCCCCCTATAGTTTGCAACAAAACTTTTTGTTAACATTTTCTTTTTCTTGGTCTCACTAACTTGACAATCAGTGGCGTAACGAAGGGCCTCGCTGATCACGCTGTGCAGGGGGGAGGGGGCCATCTTAGGGGGCGCCAAATCGTTATTTGAATGTGGGACAATTTAAATAAACTTAACTGAGGTACTAGCAAAACTACACGTTTTTCTCTAGAACACACTTTTTTAGAGATTTTACCAGCGTATCCTCTAAAATCACCTAATTTGTTTCAATTTTAGGGAAGGGCCCCAAAAGGGGAGAGGGACACCAAAAGGCGAGGGGGGCGCCATCCAGTGGCGTAACGTTGCCTGTTGGTGCCCCCTGCTGAAAAAGAGCCCCCCTGTTGGCGCCCCCTCCCCCTTTTGGCACCTCTCCCTAAAATTGGACAAATTAGATGATTTTAGAGGATACACTGGTAAAATCTCTAAAAAATTGTGTTTCTGGAGCAAAACACACAGTTTTGCTATTACTGTAGTTAAGTTTTTCCAAATTTACCCACATTCAAACAATGATTTGGCGCCCCCTAAGATGGCACAGCAGTGCGGGGGGCGCAAGCAACGTTATGCCACTGTTGACGATGTTTTAATGTTCAATTTATCGTTATTTAAAATAGCTTTTGGCAGTGTTTTAATGACTTATTTAAACATTCTCTGTTCATTTGGTTGACAACAAGCTAATCAACTTCTGGTGCTCATTAAAACGAAACATGAGATATGAGTCTGGAAACTCATTATATTTATCAAATACTGAACATAAGATGTCACTTATCATATTTAGCTCTCCTCAGGGATGCCATGTGCAATAATTCCCTAGGGGGGTAAGCTAAGAACTTCCTAAGGTCTATGCAGTACTGCAGTTGACTCAGCTGTGTGGTCACAAAACATTGTTTAGGATTAAATAAGTAGAGCAGAGATTCCTTCAATTCTAAAATTCTTGGCAGTAAATATGCCTAACTATTCCAATGCACGGCCAAAAAATTCCCAATAGGTAGCCATGAAGGTAGCCATGAAGGTAGTCACGTATTTCAAATATATCTTCCTAGCCAATTTCACATTTAAGCCACAGGGCCTGACTGATATATTGGGTTAAGCAACCTCTAATCTCCATGCAATAGGGTCTGCCTTGTTCTTATCAGAGCCATTCCATACTGCCTAGATTTGAAACATATGAGACCAGTCTAGACTTCTAAATTTAGCCATTGAAAACTAAGGTAGGCTAAGAATAGAAACAAGATATAATGCCTGTCTGTGACTCAAACATAGATGACCTTTTACTATCTAATTGTAAGGAGCCAAAATAATCAACTTTTTAAGGCAACAACTTAGCTTAGTTCTGAGCTCAGAATTAGTCCAGTAGTTTCTTAAATAACATATCTTTAATAGTTTATTATCGAATTGTTGAGTAAACTGTAAATGTCAAAGTGTGTCCAACGTTTCATTTATGGCCAGAAATTTTCCGACAGTTAAGTATTTTCTTTATTTCCAAAATCCTTAAATATTGATCTTTAATTTGTAGCAACACTCCCATGTCATGATTGTATGTATGTAATTTTTTACTGTGCAAAACTAAGTTCCTTTCCATCCTCCCTTTACACCTTCTATGCTTTGTACAGGTATAGTGAACTGAATATTATTGTAGGTATGGCTGCCTCCGAGCAGTGGCCCACCAACAAGGAGGATTATGAACTTCTTGATGTCATTGGCACTGGTGGCACTGCCAGCGTTCAAGTAAGAAAATATCACATGTTATAGATTTGTAAATACATAGTTTTAAGACCTTGCACGTCAGTGTTATGCATCGATGATTTGATTGTCCACTCCCATAAATTTACAGTTTTGGAATGTCATTATTTCCACTCTTTAGGTTTTGTTAAACAGTTACTAATTACTCAAATCTATTATATAATACATTTTTAATATTCGAAATCCTCAGATTGCTCTTTGCAAGCCCAGAAACGAGAAAGTTGCTATCAAAAGAATAGATCTTGATAAGACAGAATTCAGCATTGAAAAAGTGATAGAAGAAGTCAATGTAAGTTTATTACTCAACAGTACTAATTATAATATGAGTATTTTTCTTTGTTGAGCTTGTGTAACAATTTGATATAAAGTTACAGCTCTGTAACTTTATTTTATATATCAAATGGTTACACAAACATAATGGTTACTTCTCTTCATTAACAAGAACTGCTTAATTACACATACAATTCATCGGAATTTACAAAATAGTGAAAGCCTTGAAATTGCTCTCCAAACAGACGTCATAATAATTTGCGAAAGCATAATAATTTGTGAAAGCAAAATGATTTGCCTAAATTAACCTTCACTTTCTACTTTTCAGGTTATGTCAAAGTTTGCTCATGAGAGTATAGCACAGTACTTTACGGCATTTGTGGTGAAGCTGGAGTTGTGGGTCGTGATGCGGCTATACGGGGGAGGCTCTGTGCTCGATGTTATGAAACACATCGTGAAAACTGTATGTACCAGTCTCTAGTGAACTTTATTTAACTTACTCCTGATAAGTTGAGACTAGGCTGGAAAGTCTTCTTCAACTTATTAGCAACTTAGAAACCTTCCTCTAGATGTACAATTATTAGAACATGATTTATTGACCGAATGTACCAATATAGAAATACGTAATCAATAAATTAAGTTTTAAACTGATTAATAACAAATGTGACCTAATATATTTTAAATCCTACAGGAAGGCAAGACTGGAGGGGGTATTCTAGATGAGGTTACAATTGCTACAATCCTAAAAGAAGTTCTGAAAGGCTTGGAATATGTGCACAGTAATCAATATATCCACAGAGATGTCAAAGTAGGTTGCATATATAATCGGATTGATCGTTTCAGAACACTTTTACCCCAAATAGTCGATATAATGACTTGGTTAAAGGTAGGATGTAGCAGATCTAATTTAATTACAAAGAATGATACAGTAGGGCACAGTGTTACAGTAGGACACAGTAATTCAAAATATTTGTAACTCTTCCAGGCGAGTAACATTCTCCTGGGAGAAGACGGTTCAGTGGTGCTCACAGATTTTGGAGGAAGTGGTCTAATCTACGACCAGAGTGACAGGAAACAGAAGACAAGGCGCACCTTTGTCGGTACCCCCTGTTGGATGGCACCAGAAGTTATGGAACAAGTTGTGGGGTACAACGAGAAGGCGGATATATGGAGCTTTGGGATAACCGCCATTGAGCTGGCAGTCGGTAGGTTACATAATTCAGTTACATCCCATGAAAAAGAATTCAAACAATTTCTATTTTTTGTTTGCAGTCCCGGCCCCCCGGGTGTAAATATATTATCTTCAGAGCCCCTTTTACTATAATACAAGAGTGTCAGTGTCGTATTTGAGAGATTGGAAGTGCGCAGGATTAATTTGAAATGTTATTTCATTAATATTTGATTATGTCAGTACAAAATTACAGGTGGGAGTGTGCATGTCATGCTGTCACTGCTTGTGTTTGATAAATCATTGTATACTCGTGTCTGGTGTCTATTTCAAATTACATCTAGCAATCTTCTGCCCTATAATAATTGTATGATTGAATTATGGGCTAGATTCACCTCAAAGTGGAGAGGTACAGCGCGCACATTTCTATACATTGTTATACACAATACAACATTGTTATACACAATACAACATGGTACTATGGCATCAGTATACATTCTTATATATATAATATATCATATACATTGTTAGTAAGTACAGACTACTGCAGATCACATTACACAGTTGTAATACATATTACTCAGCCCGCCGATCCTATAATCGAACAGTCTTGATAAGTAAATATCAAGCAAGTGAAATTATACACTCGACTGTTTAACAAATGCTAGTCTCAGAACGATCATTAAAGATGATGAAGTCTTTAATAAGTCTGGATTTAAAAAGTATGGAAAACAAGTACAAAGGCTCTTTTCAGAAAGTTTAGTTCTTCCCAAGTTATGTTTTGATTTTCGACTTTATGTTCCACCAACTAAATTACTCTGAGCTGAATCACGTGACATGTTGCAGTGGTCAGCAGGTTAAGTTGTCAAATTGTTTGAAATAAGTTACCACGAAGTTTTATAGAGAACAAGTTCAATTAGCCGGCATTCTTGAAGGTAAGTAAATTTGGGATAATTTTTCCGGCAATTCAAAAATTCAGGGTTTTACTGTATTATATGAACGACAGTGCCACGACAGTGCCACGACAGTGCCACGACAGTGCCAAGACAGTGCCACGACAGTGCCAAGACAGTGCCACGACAGTGCCACGACAGTGCCACGACAGTGCCACGACAGTACCGCGACAGTGCCGCGACAGTGCCGCGACAGTGCCGCGACAGTGCCGCGACAGTGTCATCGGGATCCGGATGTATGACCGATTTTTGCAAGTTTTCTTGGAAAACCCGATTCAGTTAACATCGTGTAGAGTTAAAAATATTTCTAAACATTCCTCAAGATAATATCAAATATATTTATACATGATATAACTCAAGTATAAAACTTACATTGTAATTTGTAACGGCACATCTTAACCAATACCTGGCTCCTCCCGTACTTAATTGCTTTAGTAATCGCAATTAATGCTATCAATATATTTCATGCAGCAACTCTCATTGTTAATAGATTAATTTGCCCCCGAGTTCGGGCGTAAAGGTATCTGGAATGCGTAGGAAGAATTACGTATCCGAATTCCTGACATACTTTCTGCGATGAATCCAGACTTTGACATTCGATATAAAATTTAAAGCTCCCTCTCTTAGCAACTTCCAAGCCCCCGTATTTGGGGATTCCTTTCCAATATGTCATAATCGATCAAACTGCATATTTTGTTACAGATAATAGCTCAACTCAGCTGCCTAATGTATGCTCATACATTTTAACGCTACTCTGTGAATTTCTATATTTAAAAGCAGCTAAGATGGTTATAATCATAACTTTAGGCTAAGCACGTGAATATAAATATCTGGTGTGTATCAAAAATGCCGCCAATTTTATAGTAATCTTGACGTATCATGTGCTATATAAGACGTGTTAAAACTAAGAATGTCCCTACTGTTTACCTAATACCTAGTAGCAGCAGTACGGAGAAGAATCAAAAGTGAACAGTCACGTACTAACTCTAGCTCTTGATTACAGTCTTGTCACAATATGCTGAATAACCTGAATAAATTGAATATTCACGCCCAGGGATATAATTAGACCAAGTTCCTTGTTTTTTCTTCTTCAGACAAAGTGATCCCCTCATTGTGTGCCACTCGACAGCATCGTACAATTAGATATCAACCACTCTTTTATCTGATCTAGACGGTGCGTACCACAATCATTGCGGGCATTGTGGTACACAATGCCCATCATTTAATTTTAACGCACGTGGCGTGTCGTGTGGTGCGTTATATACCGCCTAGTAAAACTGGATCTCACCTAAAGTCACGTATTACACAATTGAGAATCTTGCACTGTGATACATGTTACCAATCACGGGGACTTCCTAGGCTTAAATAATTACCCATTAGCACCTTTTATTGTTGCAATAGTGATGCGGTGATAGATTAACAGCCACTAGACTGCTTGCTCAATAATGATAATTAATGTTAATTTATTAAAGGGCGTTATTTAAACCCCAATCTCATCACTTCCGTGCTTTATCAAGATTGTCTAGTAATTACATGGCAGAAATGTACCATGTTAACATAATATGTTCAAGTGATGACACAATATACATCCAATGACCACCACTTTGGTAATATAACCTCTAATTGTTCTAAAAATTCCTTATAATTTAGATTACTCGTTTGTTATCTTTATCGTGATCTTACGATCCTCACAGGTAAAGCACCTTACCACAACTACCCTCCGATGAAGATATTAATGATGATTCTTGGGAGAGATCCACCAACCCTCGATGACTGCATGGTTGACGGCGATAATGCTAAATATTCCAAACAGTTCAAGAAAATTATCGAAAAGTAAGTTATTTGTGGAGTGCTTTATTTAGTTTGGTTAAATACTGAAATTATACCTTATCGACCCTTGGAAGTTTTCCTGCACTAATTCATCGTCTCGTAAAGAAGTATTTTGGGCCGGAAAACATAACGCTAGATGTACATAAAAGGCCGGTAAAACTCTTCACCACCCAAACATTCCCGAATCATTTCCTCTAAATAAACCACTTCGTGTATTTTTAGAACAAGTTGGTACGAAAGTACGTCCCAATATGGTCAATCTTGAAAATGTATTCCACAATGTTGTCTAAAAGAGAAGAGTAAGATCTACTAGGTGTTCTTTATCTCATCAAAAAATATTAATACTGACCAAAGTTATGGGCCTTTAAAAGTTTAAAGATCAACACCTCGGTTTCCTAAAAATTATTATTAATTTGTCAACTTCAATCCTAGATTCGGGAATGAATTTGATAAAATGATTATTTTTGGGAAATCATGATTGAAATTCGTACGTGATATGGAATAACACATACGCGCTGACCTTTAAGGACTCATTACTTTGCTTTGGCCAGTACAAGATCAATAATTTTTGATGAGATTAATCATTAAGATAATCTTTTTCTCTCCTTTGCCAGAAAACATAATTTAATCAATTTTCATGATTGAAATAATATGCATTCATCAATGATCACATACCAGTCTCTGAATTAATCTAACATTAACCCATCAGATGTTTGGTGAAAGATCCAGCCAAAAGACCTTCCGTAGCAGAGATAAAGAAAGATCCGTTCTTCAAGAAAGCCAAAGATAGGCAGTGGATCATCGATCATCTTGTTCACAAGGTCGGTAGATTTACAGCGATGATCAGCTCATACAAGTTATATCTATTTCACTAATTTATGGTTTCACAATATTCAAATAAATGAAAAGTTAATAAACTGCCCCTCACTACTCACTTTATGTTGTGGTGAAATACATAACATGAAGTCTATTCGTATCTTCTCCTGTTTAATTGTTTGATCGGGTTAGTTTTAAGTTGATCTTGTTGCCATCGCCATTGGATAGAAAAGATGTCGTTAAAACTTACAGATCTCGTCAGTCCGGGAGTGAGTTTGTACTATTGTAGTATTAAGTAGGGAGCATCACGATTAACGGCTATCGACAGACAAAGTGAAACAAGGGAAATTACTGGTAAAACTAAATGAAAATAAACGTTTCGGCACTCATAGTTAGGGTCCACCTTACTTGCTTGTTTTAGTTCCTATAGTTGGGCTCGCATACTTAAGTAAGACCCTTGTAATTTATTATCAGTAATCTTAGTGAAACGCCAATGAGTGCCGAAACGTCGATTATTTTCATTATATTTTCACTTTATTTCCTTTCTTTCACTTTGGCTGTCGCTCGAGAGCCATGATGCTCCCTACTAAACAATAGAATGTAATAAATTTAGAAATATTGATGAAACCTTACCCGTACTTAGGCCACGAATAATGAATATTATGTTTTTTGACCCGTGTGGGCAACATTAAATTTTAAACATTTGGGCCCTTGGCCTTGGTATTGTTCGGCAGTAATCAGAAATACCAACGACCATCCTTTGGTTAGAAGCAAAAAAGCTTTTACGTTGTTGATAGAAACATATCTATCATCAGTTATCTCTGCCGAATTAACCGTATTAATTCGATGTAAATCGAATATCATGCTATAAATTAAGGATTTATAAATCCATTGGAATTAATTACAATAGTATACGCACAAATGCGTATACTTTTGTAATTAATTCCATTGACCGATCGACAAAGATTATTGAATTTTCATAATATGTCTATTGTTTTCATTTCTAAATCATTTTGGATATATTTGTTAATTAATAATGAATATAGAACAATTTTACAACGTTTCATTCGTATTGGAAATAATCCGCATAATTCATAAATTTCCAGTGCAGTATTGCATGCGGGTCCCTTGGCCCGTTCAACTCCTGAACAAAATCAAAAAGAGGGTTAGTAGCTTTAATGTCTATAATAGTAACGTGGACATAATATCTTACTCTTTGATTGGTTGTCAGCAATTTGCAATACTAATGCGATGAAACGTTTTCTCGCAACATTTCTGTAACACCTTAAATGGGCGGCTAACGGTTCGTGTCCCTAATATGGTGTTGAAATCACCGAGAAGTAAGGTGGGGTTGAATCCTGATTACACTTCTTCAACCCTGATGTAACCTCCATCTGACCCATCTCGCCTGACATTATTTATTTTTACACAACACCTCACAAACCATTGAGAAAGGGTATCCTATTTCAATATTATTTATCATGTATTAGCAACACCACCACGGAGAGAGAGAGAGAGAGAGGATTGAGTCAGAGTAAATCATACCGTACTGGCTTTGTGAGTGACCTAACAATTACTTCCACACGTGGGCTACGTCAGTGTGTCACGTGCAGCCTTACTACTGTCACATTGTCACGCGTGATTACAGATCACGTGCTACGTCACTGGCCCACGTGCTACGTCACGATAGCACGTGGGCTATTACAGAGTATATGAGGCTCCGTTAGTTGGAGTGAGTTGTTATTTATAAGCTGACAGGTAGAATCGGTGTGCTGCGTGTGTTATTATTACAAAGAGTCCGCCTCACTTGAAACACAACACGGTCTACATATTGTGAGGTTTTAAAAACGTTTGCTTGTTTGTTTTAGAAACTAGTTCTTGTGTAAGGTTTCTAGTTAGGTGTTATTCATGTTGGGGTATTGGTGTTACTGCTACCACTGTACCAATGTCAACTCCCACTTAAAGGTGAGATCAAACTCTGCTGTTATTTATTAACTTAATAACTTTATAAACGTTTTAACCAGACTAAAGTAATGTTTCTTCTGATCAAACGGTCTCGTCTCCTTTTGTAAGGTTTTATTGTTTTTTGTGATGTCTCTGAAACCCTAGCTGCTAGAACTTGTCGTGTTCAATTTGCACTTGTCAAAACCACGACCATACCCTTCTATCACAATCATTATAGCGACAAGATAATGATCATTTAAATAATGTTGGCTTTGTTAAAAGTACCATGATTCTCGTCGTAGTACAGTGAAAACCATCGCTGTGGGAAGTATGAGTACCGGTTCTCGTGCCTGCAGCTGCATTTTACATGTTGATTGATGATGAATAATTACAAGTTTTAAAAACAGTTAATAAATTAACACACAGCACACAAAGTATGTGTACTTCTCCAGCTCACTTTTTTTACAGAACATTCTCTCTCTCTCCGATTATTACACGTATAACAGTAAGTTAAACCACCAGTTGATATCCAGCATATCCAACATATATATTACACGTGGTGTGGTTTGTTAAAATGTGTGTACAGTTGACATGGTCTCTCATTCACACATAACATAATAGAGTATGTTATACATCACATGGTGTGTGTGTGTTGTTAAGGGGGTTACATCATCATCATCATGTAAATACAACAAACACACACACACACACACACTCACACTCACACAGACGGACGCACAAACTCACATACAGTATGTTTACTGAGACACACACACGGACGCACAAACTCACATACAGTATGTTTACCGAGACACACACACGGACGCACAAACTCACATACAGTATGTTTACTGAGACACACACACGGACGCACAAACTCACATACAGTATGTTTACTGAGAGTATGACAGGCCTCAGTAAAGCAGGGCTCCGTAAAGTAGTGCTATATTAGTAGTAGTAGTGCTATATTTTAGGTTATCCTCTCTCACGGGGAGTTAAAATATAATGTGTATCTGACTATTACACTACTCTAGTAGTATATGTAACTCTCTCGCAGCAAGCTTCGAGAACTTCCATTTTATGCGGACGAAAACCCCAAAATGTACGTTGGAAACGCGATTCATACGTCTCGGTTTTTATCTGTTTCTCAAGAAATGGCTGAGTCATTTTTTATCCGCTTCTCAGGAACTTGCTTACTCTAATAATAACTCACCTGGAGATTATCTTGTGCAGGGCGCCACAACCATCAACTTCCCCTAAACATCACTAATCGACACGATTTCCAGCACTTTTCACTCACAGCGCCACAGTTTCCACCCAACTGTGACTCATTAAAAGAAAACCATCCATTGTTAAACCCACAGATCTCAGCAGACTGAAACCAGACTTAAATACACAACTGACCACACAGCCTTAGTATGCAACTAACACGTGGTTATTTTCAGGGATTAACAACAGCTAAACGAGGTCAGAAAGTTAAACGTGTTCCTGGCGAGAGTGGGAGGTTGCACCAAACTGCTACTGGGTGGGAGTGGAGTGATGATGATTACGATGAGCGAGACTCTAAACCTAAATCAAGTATGAAACACAACTATTGGGGGGCCGGGGGGGGGGGGGAGGGGTGTATTAGTTGTGACTTGTGTATCTAAACCCAGACCAAGCTTGTGATATCAGATTGTAATTGTAGGGGATGTTTATATGTTTGTAATTATGGCTGTGTTGCACCACATTATATTTGAGGTAAGGTACATACAGTGGACCTGGAAAATTTAGAGAGCTGCTGGTTTCTTTTCAGGGTTAGTAGGTCAGTGACTTAAATCTAAATAACTTGTTACTTGCAATGTTAAGAGACAATATCTTGGCAAATATCCAATAAATCCATGAGCCCGATGATAAGGATGCTCACTTCGTGGCTGAGCTGCATTGAGCCGTATTGAGCTGCCTTAGCTTCGAACTCACTACCTACTGATATAAGTAGGCGGAGGATCTAGCCTCTGAGCTACCCTACTCTCATAATTGTTACTTGCCTCTTTTTCCGAGCTGAACAACTTTGTTTTGACACGTGATAAATACCCGTTCATATGATTGGTCGTTGTTGTCAGCTCATTGGTAAATCACCGGCACGTGTCATAGTAAATTTGGCCGTCGACGAGAAACAAAGGTCGGTCAGAGGGTAACTTCACTCCTGAACACAATCAGTCCTAGTGAGTCTCCGGAAAAAGTGGTTTGATAAACATTTCCCGGAGCAATTTGTGACGCAAACAGGTCTTTATTCTTTATTCTGAAATGGCACAGTACAAAAATAAACGTGTCTCGTTCTATTTTGGGATTTCCTGGCCGTGGCCATTCTCATTAGGAAAATATAATCACCCAGGAACATCTTATTATAATTCCTGTTATGATCTTGGCGTGGATCAGGAATTCCGTCGGTAACTCTAAATGTACTATTGTAACATTTTACAACAACTCAACGCATTTGAAAATGTGCACCGAATCAGGCCTTTTACAACACGATAATAACATTCAAACGAGGCTAATTAGTAACATGTTAGAATTAAGTGGGCTGCATTTTATTTTAAGCAAGTCGTAAGCAGGCTCCCTCATTAAACCGGCGCATATATCTAACTCATTATAAAATTTAAAAATATGTTTCATATTTTGTTATAAATTGTGGATTATTCTGGACCTACTATACAGCATTGTATGTATAATGTGTGTAATGCGCTGTGCTCTGTTTTTAGATGTGTACATACATAAAATATATATTCGATCAAGTGCTCTTTGATGTGGATATAGCCTGTTTGGTACTGCGTTCATTACAGATGTAGTCTATTGATTTAAACTGTAAAGCAAAGTTAAATCTAGACTTCCTGTAACGAAGTTAAAGATTTTTCATGAAAAAATATGATGGGAGGAGTTTTTAGTGCAGTAAAATGTTCCTTATTTAAAATACATAGATTTGTTACGTGATGTTCGTGATAGCACGTGGTATACACGTGGTATACACGTGGTATACACGTGGTATACGCGTGTATACACGTGGTATACACGTGGTATACACGTGGTATACACGTGGTATACACGTGGTATACACGTGGTATACACGTGGTATAAACGTGGTATACACGTGGTATACACGTGGTATACACGTGGTATACACGTGGTATACACTACACCCATTATGCACCTGCTCAATACACACTTCAAATTCATTAAGCATCATGTTTGATGAATATATCGCACGTATTGACCGTGCATAACTGCACAGGATCAAACATAATGTCATAATAACAGTATATAAAAGGGTGGTATAGAAGTATGATAAACAGTTCAAGTAAAGTTGTCAACAAGAACTGAAGGGTATCCTTTGCTGTACTACTATATTTTACTGAGTACCAACTGCCAGATAGCAATAATCACGCACACAAATTGGGGTGGGGTATTATACCAATTTCATCGGTAGATTAGAATGTGGACTGTGAGTAGATGTGTGTGAAATACATTTATCATATCAGTTTGCAAAACTCTGTGCCGTCTTACAATATTATGTAGATTTGAAGCGCGAGGATTGTTCTAGATGGAGGTGTGAATACTGTATGTGCGACGGCCGACCTGTGATTATTTTCTTGTTTGTCAGCTTTTTTCGTGTGGTCGTAGGAATACTTTGATTTATTTGACTGAATAGAAAAATTAATGCAATTAAGAAACCTCTCACAATTAATCAGCTGTAGTGCCATGCTAGAAATCCTCAGATATGTGACACAGACTATAAAACTTAACGGAACACGCGATAACATTTAACATGTTATGAAAACCTTCTTTTTCGCGCAAATTTCACGCGCCTAGCGCGCAAATATAATGGATAAATATAATGTGGACCCGGTAAGTAGCGCGCTGGTTACTTTGCATTCTCGGCGATGATAATTACGTTTGACTCTATCAGTAAAGTAAAGCGACATAAGATACCATAAAATGTACCTGTCATTACCAAATACCAGTATCCTGAACCAACCCTATTATGAGCTAAGTGTAATTGATCATGCCGTTAGCCGATTACGGTGCCTGTTACGGGATACCATGTACCCACTACGTAAAAGGATTGTAGTTTTGCAGTTTTACGTTTTAGATGATTTGGTATTATAAACTTATAGAGACTTCCCATTTTAGGCGAGAACAAGACGAATTCAGGAGAAGATGAAAAAGTTCCGGCCGGGTCCCCATCTACAGCCGACCCCGGAAACCACCAGCAACTCCTCATCACTTGTAAGACGTTGTTTGATTTTCTTTCCTCGTTTCACCAAACCTTACTGTTTACACATTTATTTCCATATTGATGCCAGTATTTCACTTGCCTTACAATGTAAATTATGCGACTTGTATTACTATGTATGCTTAAATTCGAACTTTTTTGTGTCTTAAATTCCCAGTGCATGTATTTCTATATCCTGATGGAACACAGCATCCCCCCTTTCAGCACAGCAATACCAAGCGACCCTACAGGAAGCCTGGAGAAACCTGGCCCTTCTCGAACAGAAACCTGACATATCTACCTTGACAGATAAGATAAAAGAAATACTCGATGATCTTTCCTGTGAGCTTAAGGTGAGGATAATTTTATTCTCAGAAATTCATGTGACACGTGTTGATAGTTCTGATAAGCTTTGTTAGGATTCAACACGTGCACCACTTTTCTTGCTATTCTAGATTCGTCTTCAATTTGAAATCAAGAGGCATAATTCATTGATTCGCTTACGTTATCACTAACTAATGCATTGAAATAATCAACAGCATTTCGGAACCCTCTTACTTTGGCGGTTTAAACAATATTTAATCAATCTCCAATCTATACTGTTTGCTTTGTTTACATCTACGTCTAAAATTATTCAATCCACGTGTTTTCTTTAGATAACACCAGAAGTTGTTCAAAAGCTGTGGGATATTAACAAAAGTATCAACGAACTTTTGAAGGATACTGATAAGAGGCTGCCCGCTGACTTATCGTTAAAAATACGGATGAGGAATATTGATAATCGTCTGAATGATATCTGTTTTCCATTTACGGTAAGTACTCAAGGTCATCGATGTGATAAACAAATTGAATTACTAAGCTTGGGGTGTTATCTCTGATTATTTTAACAGTGTTTATTTTAGAATAAAAAAGCGTTGGATTCGTCACGGTCACATCACGAAAACGGTTGAATAAGAGTATAAAATTATGTCACCAAGAATGTTCTTTCTAACCAAAACATATTTCAGATTGGAATGGACACACCGATACAATTAGCAGCAGAGTTAGTAAACGCTGGCCACATCAACCCCAAAACAGCGAACGCCACATCAAAAGCCATACAGTATATTATCGACCATTACCCTGTTTGTAAAGTCACAACTTTCAAACTTTCTGAAATAGGTAAGAAAAATATCTTGAGCATTTTCCAGTATTCAGATAAGTTTTTATATCAATTGCCGTATAGTTTGACCTACCTTAACTTCTAAAACGTAAATTTTTGATCACTGCGTTTATCTGGCGGTACTATGTTTTTCGTAACTAAAACCTTGTTCAGTACTCATAGAGTTAAAAAAGTATATCCACCAACAGTTACCTTACATTACATGGACATCGTATCTTGATGTTATCTGTAATCTGTTCATATTATCTTATCTTAATGCACTTCTTATCAGGATTGTCTGAAAGTGATTATGACGAAGCGAAACTAATCGGCTACGCTCAACTGTCTGCGACATAACGATTACCTAGATCTGGGGTATATTATAAATTTTGTAGATTGGAATACAGTCGATCTCTCAGTCCAGCTCTACTTCATATCGTGTCGTGGCGATTAAAAGGATAAAAAATGAACGATAAAAAGCAAGCTCAAAAACTTTTAATTAAACTATAATCCAATTAATCGTCTTGAGTTTATATTTTCTTATGATATGAACAGCAATCTAAGAAAATTATGGAACTTGGATTTAGCCACGTGAATTCATAATCGAATCGTTTTATAGTTGATCATAGCGGTTTTTAGTCTTTATCACAAGTATTTATAAATATTCGTGAAAACGCCCGAGGGCTGGGCTGTTTAGGAACACTGATCATCGATGAAACATGGGCCGCATCGGCTTGGGTTAACGTGTCCCCAGAATGCAGTATTTTTAGACCCTGAAAATTCTGCATAAGTTCTGCATACTATAACCAATAACCATTCCGGTGCGTCCTGCTTCATAGGTTTGACACCTTTGTGGTATCCCGATATTTTTTATTATATTAAACTGTAAAGATGAAAAAAGAACGATTCATACAAGTGCATGAAACGTAAAACATCTTTGTTATCTATGGAGAACCTCCTTCTGATCGTAAAATGTTAAAATGAACAAAATTATTTCCATATGATTCTCGTGTGTGAGTATATTTTAACGAGTTTCAAAAAGTGATTATATTTACGATATCTTCTCTTAAAGTTTCACAATCCAATGATCATGTTCCACCATTTGTTTTACATTATATTGTATTTCGACCTGGGCGAATAATTTTAAAAGGCCCAGGATTTCAAGATTTTCCTAAAAAGCGTTGTCAGTTCAAGTTTAGACTTACATATTATCTATAGTTATACCTGATTAAATTTGAACGGGGGTCAATTAATTAGCATATTGTTCTGTGTTTTGATGTTTAGTGTTAACTTTAAATGTAAATAAATATATTATACGATGTTTCGATCTTTTTGAGGAAAGAATCTTTTTAATGCAGCTGCTGCCAGTTTGCTTTGTCCATTCATGTTTTGGGTGAGCTTAATGATTATGGGCCCATGCATTTTTTGCATTTTTTGTGCACTTCATTTCCCAAATGTGGGCTTTAAATTAGTTCATCTTTTCAAGCAAGATTATTTATGCGTCATATTTAATCATTAACTGAGAATTCAAACGTTACATTACCTCAACATTGCATTCATTGTTTGAGTAACAGGTACGACTTGGATTAGTGATTTCTTCAATATAGCATAGCCAATTGTTTTACTTTACGATTTTCCATCTGTGGATATTTAAAATACGACGGAAACAAAATGATTAATACGTGATGGTTATAATAGAAACTAAGGAACGTTCAGTCAACGAGGCACTGATAAGTTATAATATATTCTAATCTTGATATAATTGCAGACCTAGTATAATAGTCTGCGATTATTGGAAAACTGACCCGGCCGGATGTATAAGATATTGTGATCACAGTCAAACACCACCACGCCGGTAAAAGGAACAGCTCTGTGACATTTCAAAACTTTTTCTGCTGCTGAATTTAAACGAAATCTGGCGTGATCGCGTGAGATGATTTAAGTAGTGTTATTAATTGGGGATACGTTCAATTGATACGTTACCCAGATCATTTCCATTTTCAAGCCCTTTCGTTATCACTTTTACATACAAATATTACTAGTGTTCCAAACCTCCTCCACCCAGGCTCTGGCTAGCTTACCACTTACGTAATGCAAACGATCCTTTACCTGAAAGTGCCCGCCTGTATCCGATCTGTGAAGTTACAGCTGCAAATCTCATCTTGAATTAAACAATCGGCAGACATTAGAAGTGAAGCTGCACCCGTAGTATAGAGACTACTGGATTGTCCATAATCTATCCCAAGGACTGGACAAAAGTCAATCATTAGTGATTACATTCTGTCGATAAAAATAGTACTTACTCCCGATCTGTGATTGTTAACTATGAACTTATGAATAAGAGTACCTGTTGGACGTTGGTGCAGTGAAGATCGTGTGATTACGGTGGCATGCGTCGATGCATAACAGCAGTGGGATTGGAGTAATTTTTATAATGAGGTTGTGAAGTTTATGATCGAATCCGGCACTCTAACTTTGGTCTGGCACCCCAATATTTAACCAGATGGACGGTGCCCGAGTTGAGATGGCTCAAAAGGTGGCGGGGGTTTGGTTATCATTTCATTTATCGGATGTCATGGTTTGGTTGCTGTTGAGTTTGGTCGTTTTCACAGGAATTTCTCCCGCAGCGACGTGTGAAACGAATCATCTACGAAGTGTTTTTGGTAAGTTAAGTTAAGCACTTAGACTACTGCAAATATCATTGATGTCCGAGGAGGTACCGGCCCAGTAATCGAGCAAATAAAAGCTGTCAAGTCGACTAACAGTAACATTGCTAAATTACTATTTCTAATCTTGTGTTCCCTGACAGAGTCAGAAGATCAGCCCACAATAAAGTGGGAAAGCACATCCTCTGGTAGCATATACCCTTATCATCTCCACCAAACACTTTCTGTAAAGTTCACTTCTGATGCAGATGGTGATTTCGAGGTAGTGTAAAAAGGACGAAATATAAATAAACATTTACTGCTTCAGCTTCAGCAGATACTAGATTCAATTACTTGATTCTTGAACGTATTCACCCAATTTAAAAGCCATGATAAAAATAAATCGAATATGTTTTTACTTAGAATTAAGAATTTTCTTGAGGTCGATAAATGCTCATCTCAGGAGATAACCCCAAAAGCTATGCGGTTTTTAGATGATGCTCAATATGAATTGTTTACGATGTGGTGGGACAGAAATGAAGTGAACGTTAAGTTAGACGGTCAGAGCCTTCTCGTTCTTGTAAGTTTAAGTAAATAATTTATCCGGTATCAAAAACTCATAAGTTAATTGATTGATTCAATTTACAATTATTAGGTATACGTCATATCCCAAATTTGTCAGGCAAATATGCAAATTGCAAACACTTAGTCGCAAAGCGCGATAGTATAGTTAATATATGACAATTAGGGCGGGGGGGGGGCTGACTATATTAAAGTATATTATTATTAAATTTAAAGTATATCACCGCCGGCCGGCCCTCAAATCAGGAAAAAACCTGTACATTTTAATATACTTTAATATACTTAAATATACCCAAAATTAGTCGAGCTATATCATGTATATTCTTCGTTTAGACTTTAAAGTATATTAAAGTATAAAAATATGCATTAAACGATTCCCCGTTCAATTTTGGTCGTTACACAGTACATTAACTTACAGAATCAAGAAAGTTATAAAACTTTTTAATGCTTCTCGCAACCACTTTAGATCGACGAAATGCGCTACTGGGCCTCGCCGAGCTGCGAAGAATTGACATGACACGTCAATTATAAACTTTCAAACGTATCAAATTGGATGTGCTTTCGGTAGAACTAGAAATATATCTTTACAATTAATTAATAGTAAGATTGTTGAGGTTTGCCGTTGGCAGTGGCACATATATTAGGTTAAACGATTCCGCTCTTCTGATCAGCAGCGGACGAAATAAGTCAAATTATAAGTGCACCCAAATTGACGGCATCTAGCGGGAGGCCTAGCTCAAGCTGCTTTCCGGGATCGCATTGCAATAATTTATTGCATCTTTTAAATTGTATAAAATTTTACGGACAAAATGATCCCAAGGCCAGGGGGTCTTCCAACCCACCGCTTCGGCGGGTAGTTGATACATCTTTTACAAGCAAAAGCCGCCAACCTTAGAGAGAATATCTTCGATCAGATTTGCAAGGGTTTTGCTTGACCGTCCTTTTATTTCCAGTTTCCGCTCTCATTAGCGATTCATCAAGCGCTTTTTCCATGGGATTTATTTTCGTTGACTTACATATTGCGTAGTCTGAACTCTGAGTCTGATATCATTGTGGTAATTCAATTTCTCGAAGCTGCAAGATTTCGCAGTTTTTATAAATTCCTGGGTGCAGATAATTATATTTATATAGAATTTAAATAAGATTTCAGTGATGTTTTTCCGTTTATTAATCATTAATGCGATCTCGGAAGGCAGGCCTCCCCTTTGCCTCCCCTTCAGCCGGATATCCGGTCGGTTCATAATATGGTAATTGATAAAATACAGTTGTGGAACACAAGAAGAAAATTGAGAATAATTTTGTGCACGAGGGTAGGGACCCAGATGTCGTTTCTAACCCGAATAAGGATAGGAACGCCTTTGATCTCATTGATCCTCCTTAGAGATAACAGACAACTGGTAACAATTGCATATAATTCCCACGAAGTTGACAGGGTATCCATTCTACTGTATTTACTATTGGACTCTTAAATTAAATCAGTTCAAATAGAGATATACAATAAGTGAATAAATACCTGTGACCAATCCAGTCTCTATTCTGATATCATTTGTGATCACCATGGAATTAAACAGGAATTAAACAGGAATTAAACAGGAATTAAACATGTGATCTGGTTCTTGTCATGGTTCATCTTAAAACCCTATTATCCCAATATCACCCATGAATTCTGCCAGTTGGAGATCACTCCTAGTGATCATGTGATCCCTTTCTTCCCAGGGTGCTGCATGTTACCTTCCCACCAAATCTCCATGTAAAGGCTTCTCTCGTCGTTATAGCACCACAAAACTTAGAATCAGCGCCCATGATCTCCATATTGAAAAAGGCATATACTCCAACACACCCCGTGAGCAAAGACTATGTGCTTTATGTCAATCAAGTATCATGGGCGTTGAGACCATCGAAGACGAGTCACATGTTCTTTACATATGTGACTTGTATTCAAAACAGAGGTCGAAATTAGTCAAAAATCTTTCTCCAATGCCACTCATTGAAATAAGCACTGAAATCACCGACTCAAGCAATATCAATGAAACAAATCTCAAAGTCCATCTTATGGAAATTTTGTCTCCTTACTCAACTGTAATTCCTCAAAATCACCAGAGCCTCCATATTCACTGCCACCGTTCACTTAATATTCAACCAAACACCCCGCAGTATATTAAATTTCAAGAAAGGCGCTCCTATGCTGTCAATTGTGTGTGCACTTATTTCCTTCGCTGCTCCGAAGAGTGAAATAGCTTCACCGAAGATATGCGTCAACGTAATTCAAATGCACGAAACTTAAACAATTTAACTATCAATTTGGTGAGAACCTCGCGAATTAGTCATAATTAAGATTTAAGGATAACCCTGGCCCTGACTTCAAGGAAAGATGATTGTTTTCATTAATTTCTGTACAATTATGACGGTCCATGATAATGGATCTATAATTTAATTGTAATCCTGTGTAATCCTGTGTAATCCGTGTATCCCTGCCATGTAATCTGCATGGAATACAAGGAATTCAAGGAATACAAGGAATTCAAATTTAAAATCTTAAGCTACAATAGTAACTGTTAAGATAATAACAATATCATAAGATTTGAATTTATTATATTAATATAACTTAAACTAAAGTGAAAAATAAAGATTTTGACAAAAAATATTTTGTTTACAGTCGCCTTGGTAATGCTGTAATGCTTGAGCCAGGCCACTTTGCACTCGTTGTTGCGCGAAAAGAAACAAAAGCGCTGGTACAGTGATTTTCAGTGTTCATGTACTGCATGTGATCTAAGCAGGGTCCCCACCCGCTCAGCGGTGTCAAGTCACCTCCAGTCTAGAGTCTGGCATTCTAACTACATGTCCATACCAGCGTAGCCTGGCAACACTGATGAAAGTCTCAACAGACTTGATGCCAGCCCTCCTGGCCTCCTAAGAACTTCTTCGTTGGTCACATGAAAGAACCATGTAATCCTAAGGATCCTTCTCAAGGAGGTCTGATGGAAAACCTCTAAGCGTTTCATCTGCTTTTTGGTGGTGTTCCAGACTTCAGCTCCATACAACAAGATGGTGAGCCCTATAGATCCTGCAGCCCTATAGATCCTGATCTTGGTTGGAGTCTTTATAATAGTTCTGCTATTTAATTCCAAATGTTCCAGAGCTGATGAAAGGCGCCATTAGCCTTCTGGATACGGACATCCAGGTCTCTGTCGATTGCTCGACGGGTTCACCCTCAACCGACAGCTCAATACAATCATCCTTGATGAAAGGTCGCTGGGAGGCGCACTTGCTTACAGCCATGCATTGGGTCTTCTTTGCATTTAGTCTGAGCCCAGCGTAGGAGCTGTAATGAACTAATAGATCAGTTGACTCCTGTAGGCCTTCCCCTGAGTTGTCCATAATAGCCATGTCATCAGCATAATCGGTGTCCAGAATGACCTTTTCCTCGACCGTCTTCATCTCCTTCTGCAGCACTGCGCCTTGACTGATGGTCTTGTTGGTCTCAGCCAGAAATGCAGAAAAGTTTAGGCAGAAATTAAAGACAGGAGGTTCTTGAATGTCACCCTGACCTGTGCCTGAGTTAACATCCAACTTGACATACGTTGCATGCCACTTTTCGCGCGCGAAGCCGAAGGCTCTCCATTAACCCTCACGGCACTCATGGTACCCCCAAAAAATGACTGAAATATTCTGACATATTTTTCAGGCAGCCCATAGTGTCTCATACTGCACCAAATAAAGTCCCTTCTGATAGAATCGAACGCTGCCTTGAAATCGACAAAATTAATGAAAAGAGGAATGATACGTATATCCCCGCC